TGTGAATAGCCTCAAGGTGCCAGTACTGGCTTCGGTAGGTGTCCACAGGTAAGGCAGGCAGGTGAAATGTATAATGTACAATGTAAATAGTTTTTGAATTATACATTTCACCTTTCTAGTAGACTGTGACACCAATCAGACTATCTAGTGTACCCTGACAAAGGATACACAATAATATTTTAAGAACTAATAACAGGCTCATCTACCATGACAATCTCTATATATATTTTTTTAAATTATTTATTACAACATGATATGTTCTATCCATTTAACAAACATGACTGTATAGACTGGTGGATCCTAATTAAATTCAACATTTCATACTGGCATGAGGTCCTTATGAAGCAGATTATAATAACAGATAATTCTATTGGTCTTTAAGTGGTTAGGTAAATTTGATCATTGTCATTAATATTGAACATGACATGAATGACTAGGGATGTGAGAAACATGTTTCCTTGGTATCAAAAAAGATTCTTTTTGGTCTTCTTATCCCCTCGGTTTTGCTTTATTTTCCTTCCCATGCTTCATGACATTCACATATGTATGCATGAGACCTTTTTAACACTGAACAACGGGAGTAACTATGGCAAGTGAAATGAGCAAATTTAGCATTTCAGAGAAAAAGCTGAAATGTTAAATTTCCCAAGACAGACTTCCTGTGAGAAAAATGAATGAATATTTAGGGGGTAAGGAACATTTCACGCTAATCAGAGCCAGTGCACTAAATTCGTATTCTTTTGTAGTATTTAAGGAATAAAATATGTTGCAATCTATTCTGTTGAGCATTTGGAGATTCAAACAGTGTTTAATGAATAATCTGGGTATAATTAATAAGATAATGCATGATTGATTTTTCTAAAAATTCCTTTCGTGCATGTCAAACTTGTTGATTGTACTAAGTTGTATGCTGAGGCCAGCCACTCCGGGGAACGTGACTTACACCAGAAAGGCAAATATAAAGTGAAACAAATTCAGTATATAGTTGTTAAAATAACTATTCTATTTCCTTGTGTCGCGCTATTGATATTTATTATCAACTTTATGTAAAATGTTCCATGTTCATAATGCATGATTTCTTCCTATTAGGGAAATTAAACTTTGATTCCTTTTAATGTCATGATAAACGTCTCTGGAAATATCTTTTCTTACAGCAGAGAGAACTAAATGACAGTTCTCATAAGTACATTATAACAACCTTACAAAAACAAATATGCTCCGAGCATTACCTGGGGCTCTGTGATATGTTAGTAATACTAAAGAAAAATTATTTCAGAAAAGACATAACTGAAAGCAGAACATTGCATTAATATTATGGATTGTTTTAAAGAACCGATCTGTTATCTTTTATACATTCTACCAAGACGCATATTACACATTTTATTTCTATTTTTTTTCCCTTAAAATTAGAATATGAAAGTTCCATTTTCCCTAGACTTGTAAAATAGTGAGCTAATGAACTGAAGACCATAATTATATTTAATTGAGATGATCTTTTCAGAAAATGTTGCAGAAACGTGATTTGTGTTTTTAAGTCCCATTTGTCCCCATATGCATGAACTGCATAAAGATTAGTGAATATCTGTTAGACTTGAGAAAATATTTGAGCATTTGAATATTGTGTTCAATGTCCAAACGCTCACAAATCACTATGTTTCAGTCTTCATTACCCATTTCTGTAGCCTTTGTCTATTAATAGTCTTTGAAGAAAAACCTTTAAACCAAAGTGGAAGTCATTCTACAGAATTCGCATGGCAAGATAACTGATGCAGGAAAAGCCAATAAGAAAAGTAAAAATTCTAAGATGCCAAGCATATGTCAGAGGTAGTCATAACAAACTTACTCTAAAGAAACAATGATAGCAGTAAATTAAAACAACATTTCTCAGTTTGGATTCTACACCAAATATGTTGTAATCTGCATCTATTTATAATGAGATTTTGAGAAATTGGGTAGTTTGCCAAATTTGTAAAGTAAAGACAGTAATGGAAGACAATTGGAATGAACGTAAAGAGACAGGTAAACACACAGTAAAGGAATTAAAAGATAAATACATCTTTAACTGTCTCCTTTTTTTCATTTTGCAAATGAGTAAATTTCTATAGAAACTGGCACTTTCATAAATTAACCTTGTTACAACCCTTTGGCTAACAATCAGACAACTGATCCTGTTACTTCCTGGTTGCTTAGCTCAGTGGAACTAAACTCAAAAGGCAGTCAAATACTTGCAAAGACTTGTCACTTGTGATTTTCAATGGAAAGTCTGTGATTGGACAGCCACAGAGCCACAGGAAGTCTGGGCTGGGTGAAAAAGGGGAAGGCTTGCAAAGGCTTCAGAATGTTAATCTGCCGTTTTTGCAATCTGATTTTAGATATACCCCATATTTAAAAAAAAAAAATGCACATGAGCAAAAACAGATAAATAGGCAACCTGTGTGAGCAAAAACAGGTAAATAGGCAACCTGTGTGAATCAAACCACTATTAGTTACAATGAATTTGTAACCCCTCACTCACACGGAGCTATAATGTTTTTATAACTGGAAATGCTGTTAACATTAGTTCATTGCAATACAGAAGAGTTAAGGGGTAAGTATGGGACTGACTCAGGTGTAGAGCATATGCTTTTTACGCAGATAGTATTTCAATAGTGATGACCCGAACCGTTCGGCGAACCGTTCGGGACATCACTATTGAAATACTATCTGCGTAAAAAGCATATGCTCTACACCTGAGTCAGTCCCATACTTACCCCTTAACTCTTCTGTATTGCAATGAACTAATGTTAACAGCATTTCCAGTTATAAAAACATTATAGCTCCGTGTGAGTGAGGGGTTACAAATTCATTGTAACTAATAGTGGTTTGATTCACACAGGCGAACCGTTCGGCGAACCGGACATCACTATATTTCAATGATCTGACACATTATATAAACGCTTATTTTGAGCATATTTACTAGCACAAACTAGAAGCAACATCCACAGTATATTTCTCTTGCTCACACAATTAATTGATTTAATGTGCTCAATGTTGAATGTATGTATCAAAATTATACTCAGAGTAAGTATTTATTTATAAAACAGATTTACATGATTCGGGGGTTTTAAAATTCCCACTTGCTACCTTGCTAAAGACAGGGGAATTGAGTCAGAGCAAGCTAGGGACCAGGGGAAAACACAAATGGTTGTTGGACATTTGAGCTGCCAGGTGTAGGCAGGCCAGTACGTGCTATGAAAGCTTCTGCACCAGAGCCATGCCGGCAGTATTAAAAGACAACGGTCAACTCAAAAATATTTTTAATATAATACACCTATATATCAGTGGTTCCCAACCTGCGGTATGTGTACCCCCAAAGCTAGAAACCAGCTTCCCCAGAGGTATGCAAAAAAAATTCCCATAATGGCAGAACTGACTTCCGCATTTGCATTTGTAAACAGCAGCCGCCAGCCAATGAGGAGCACCACAACCTTACGTCATCACCTTTACAGCTGCCAGCCAATGAGGAGCACCACAACCTCACGTCCTCACCTTTACAGCCACCAGCCAATGAGGTGCGCCAAATCCCTATGTTGCCCCCTTTACAGCAAATGAAAAGTGCCCAACCCCTACATCAAATCAAGAAGAAACCATCATGTCACCCCTCCTGTTCATTCCCCCTGATGTGGAGTGGAGGACAGAAGGCGAAAAGGAGGATTGTAATACAAGGGGCAGACTTGGCCGGGGGGTGGGTAGGCAAATGACCCTGGACCTGTATATTTTTATAATATGTATACGTCAGGAAAAGTGTACAACACCTTTTGAAATTAGTACACAATAAAATGCACTGTATCATCAATGCTGTAATAAATCACCTTAGTTAACATCCGCATTTGTGTTGTTTTTCCCTATGTTTTCCCCAAGAAACTGTTTCCACTACCCCTGGCTCCCATCACATTACCCTCCATGCCAAACAACCAGTATCGTCCCCCTTCCCTGGCTGTATCAGGTGTCCAGAAAGCCGCAATGACTATAACGGGACTTATCCATTACTCCTCTGGAACTCCGCGCTATGGCTAACTCCATCTTCCGGTAAACTTTCACCCCCGTTTCCCTCCACCTCTCAACCAGCTAAGAAAGCAGTGTTTGGAGGGCAGGTCCAATGAACTGTATGGAACAATCACTCCCTGAGAGCCAGGGGAAGCACCCCTTATTTTCAACCATACTTCAGCTAATAAAATCATATCTACTCCCAACATTAAGTCTTGACTGATGTATGGGGGGAAGCTATAACAGCTATAATCACTACACTACTTTCCCTCAGGATCTATAGCACTGAGGGAAAGGGAATCTCTGGCGCTGATACAGCAGTGATCTGCCACATATGCACCTGACAGATTTATTTGAATATAATTATTTTATTTTAATATACATTTTAATGGTGCTTGTGAAAGGCCAGAAAAGGTGAGGACCCAGCAAGTGTTAGACCTTTGGCAGTCACCTAATTGTAGAGCCACCTCTGGCTAATAGAATGTAAAGGTCACATTTATTAGCATTACTAAAATTTATTTTTACAGTCCTATTTGTTTCCTAAATAATTTGATTCTCTTAGTTGCATAGGCAATGTGTTTTTTTATGTCACTGTAAATTTTGTTGTATGTTTTAATTCCATAAACATGTCTGTTGTTTTTTTAGATTGTAGTCAACAAGAAATTATTTTTATGCATGAATCATTATTTCATGTATAAATCGGTCTGATTTCTTTTTTAAAGCAATCGAGTAGATGGCTCTTTATTACCACACATCTATGTCATGTACTACTTATATAGGACCAGGCTCATGGAACAAATATATTCCAATCCCTCGTAAGAATACCAAATAAGGGTGCTATCTACTAAATTGTTGAGGACATCTTAGTCAGTCCTGTGAGCAGTGTTTAATGAGTGAGTTTTTCTGGGTCTACTTTATGACTCTTCTCATTGTCATTGTTTTAAATTAATGTTTCCATTTCTGTATTATCAGATATGGATCAGTGGCTGAAAACTGGCACAGTAAGAAAGCTGACGCATAATGTGGACATTGACCAATCACCAATAATTTCTCAGGACAAGTCTAACCCTTCAGTGCAAAATGATGAGAAGGTCGAGTCGTCACTTCTTCGAACTGGTAAAAAGAGAAAATACTGTGATGAATACATGAACTGTCCTAAGGCACTGTGTGCAGTGTATGGGGAAGAATTAACCAATGGTAGCATGAAACCTTCTCTAATCTTGCGTCATTTACATACAAAACATGCCAGCTATACGAACAAGGAATGCAGGTTTTTTTCAGTGGCTTGCGAAACATCAGAGTATGACGTTTCTGTCGTCAGCTAACAAAGAAAATGAAAATGCACTCCTAATGTGTTAGTTATCGTATTGCTAGATGTGGTAAGAAACATACAATAGCTAAGAATTAAATTTCTTCTGTGTAAAAGAAACTGTTCTGTGTATACTTAAAAAAGAATATGTGAGGAAAATGAACACTATCCCTCTTTCAAACAATACAGTATCTGAAAGAGTTCTGGATATCTCTGACAATGTTGAGGTGACAGGAATAAGTAGATTTAAAATAGTACATTCTTTGCTATTCGGGTTGATGAAAGCACAAATGCTGCCTATTTCTCTGTTTTGCTTGTAATTGTGAGGTATTTGAAAGGTAATGTAGTCGAAGAAAAACTTTTGCTTTGTCATCTTCGGTCAGAGCGCACAAGAGGTGAGGATATATTTAATGCTATTGAAATATATATTTAATGCTATTGATTGTTATTTCAAAGAAAATGACATTAATTGGTCCAATTGCTGCGGGCTATTCACTGATGGGGCAAGTCTATGTCAGGTTTTTATTCTGGTCTGCGTGGTTGTGTCACGAAGGTAGCTCCTCAAATAACCTAGAGACACTGATTCTGCATTTACAGGCAAAGCTTAGCATTAATTTTATAATGTGCACAAACTTGAGGATTTCTTTTTTAATTTTTCTTTTTTAATTCTTTATTTTAGCAGTGCAGAGTTTAATAGACAAGCTGATATTGATAGTTTGTCAATTTTTGTCAAATTCACAAGAGTGTGAATGACATGTTTGGAGTCAAGAGTAACATAAAATGTTGACATTAAAGCACTTTTTTATATTTATAACAGGAAAACATCAAGAGTTATTCAGAACAGGGCAAAGTGTCTGGCTAAACAAGAGAGAAAAGTAAAGAGTAATACCACAGAGAGCTTTGTTACTGGGTGTATAGAATTAGGTATGACAGAGAGAAGGTTAATGCTCATCAGTAAGCAGAGAGAGGGAAACACAAGAAATACTGGATGAGTAGAAGCACCCAGTTAATGTCTGAACGTCACCACCGGCACAGGAAGCTCCTGAACCAACACTTATTCATCCTATGTCCTCTGCATGCCTTATGCAGGTGTACCGAGAGTCCGGTAAGCATTGATTGATTTTGGTGCATGGGCTATGTGTAGTCCGCTGAATTCCCTGTTGGGAGGAAGTCTCAGAGTTGCTGCTCTGCAGACAGGATGAATCGTTAGTGCTTACAGTGTGGCTTGTTTCTTACGCAGGCTCCGCCAAAACATTTGGCAGATAGCATTGAATGCTTTATGAAAGCTCTCCTCCCAGCTCAGTATCAGAGCCTTAAAGCTTGCGTTACGGCTGCGCCACCACTGGCCATTTTAATCAGGATGCGAGGAAGCTGTCCGCACAAAGGTAACTCAGGAATAGCAGGATAGGAAATATGCTTTACTTGGGGTGACACTGGGTTAACCCCCACGGGATGGGTGGGGAATACAAGGCTCAGGAAACAGCAGTAAAGCCTGTACAGACTCGTACTGAGAAATCGGCCGCTTCCCTCGATGTGTATATTAGGCAGCAAAAGATCAGAGGACACCGCTGCATCACAGCAATAGATTTTAGACCCGCTGTCTGTACCAATGCCGCCTAGGTGGTACCTGGCACCTGTGGTCTTGAGATTTTTTTGAGACTGTGTAAAGAGATGATGAGTCTTCATTCTACCCTACTCCTTTATATAGAAGTAAGGTGGCTCTCTCGTGGTAAAGTCCTTACCCAGCTGTTCGAACGTAGACATTTTTTCTTTTTTTTTTTTAGACCATTCTGTTCAACTTGCTTCCAAGCTACATGTTCTTGCATACTTATCGGATATTTTTCTACAAATAAACAATCTAAATTTGGTACTTCAGAATAGTTCAATATCGATCTTCAAAGTTTCAGAAAAAATTAAATATATGATTAAAAAAATTCGTTTTTTGCAGGTCATGCTTTGAAAAAGGCCAACCTGAAGTATTTGAGACTTTACACAATTTCCTGAATCTGAATACAAGCTACAGCTCTCCCAGGAAATGATTGAGAAAATAAGTTAACACTTGAAAGGGCTAAAATAACTTTTTCTCCAAACCTGCAGAAGAGAACAACTGAATTGTAAATCCATTCGAAGGACAATATTCCGAGCTGCCAGATTATCAAAAAAGGAAAATTGTTTGATTGAAGTTTTAACTGATACTTTGTTTAAAGCTGAATTTAAAGAAGCATCCCTTATTAACTTTTAGGCAAAAATCACCAGAGAATCTGAACAACTTTCTGACAAGTCACAAATTTCTGTTGCCATTTACAAATACAGAGCTGGTGGAGAGGACCTTCGCTTCTTCTATTTTTTTTAAATTATTATAAAATAATAGCATTGTAAGACTGTATTTTACATCATTTGAACCTGATTCTAAAAAAACTATGTGCTTCAAAACAAGCTCAATGTTCACACTTATCATTTGTTGTGTACTTTATAAATAGTATTTTTAACCATACCGTTTTGTAATTGTTAATACATTAAAGTACCCTGCAATGCAGTAACCCCTTGAATCCTCAGTAAAAAAAAATTGTATGAGAAATTGTTATCCTATCATCCAAAAATGAGTCGTCAAGTTTTAAATCAAAGATCGAATCAAATGGTAGCGAAAAGGAAAATATGATGTGAATGGGATTTTAATTTAGCTTTTAGAACTCAATACAGTCAGAAATTCAAGTGGATAGAGAAAGCACTACAGAAATGTTGGCTAGTATTATTACAGGGTAATCTATTGAAGAGCATTTTACCAGTGAAACCGAGGGTTATTTATATTAAAGCTAGGAATTTTAAATCGTTTTTAGCACCCAGTCGTTTACCCTACCATAAAGGAACAAATTCCTACTGGCATTATCTCTAGACCGAATGTTTTTGTTTTTTAATTTATATTTTTTGTTGTAGCATACATAAAGGTATAAGCACAGGTAAAAGCACGGTTCTCTGCATTTTACGTGCAATCAAAGGTAATCAATGACAATAATATAGTATTCATAGCAGGTAACAAAAGGCTGAAAGATTGTCTTATGGTTGAACTGTGGCTGAAGCTACATGCACTGTGGTAAAGTAAGCTTTGCATACTCACTGAAATATAATTGGTTCATATGGGGGTGTGGGTGTCCCAAGAGAGTACAGCTGGGGAAGTCTGCTAAACAGTAACAGCCTTAGGTAATACAAAATTAGTGGTATATATCTGACTCATAGTGCTATAGAGAAAGTCAGTGACAGAGCGGAGATATTTTATGGTGCATATACAAAGCGAAATTAACAGAATAATCATGAACGGCATAATAATGAACGGCATAATAATTAGCGGCATATGGTACTTAAAGTGCTCAGTAGATGTTCACCACCACTCCCGTGGAGAGTCATGTGCCACCAGGAAGTTGCGCTCCTGTTGCTCGTTGTTGCCTCGGTTAAAATGGCTCCACAGCATTCAGTGTCAGCATCCCAGGAAGTCGTAGCAGATGCCTGGGTAGTGTGTGGTGCACTTCTCATGGAGACTTCTGTTGGAGGAAAGCCCAGCTTTCTGAAAAGATAGTCCACCTCGGAAAAATGTGTCAGCTGCAGACGTTTCTCACCATGCAGTATCGTCAATCTTCGGTCTGGTCCCCATCGATACTGGACTCCTCTCTCTCTCAGTAGCTTAGTTACAGGTTACAGGGATTTTATCCACAGCATGGTAGACCTGGAGAGATTGTTGAAAAACGTGAGGTCTGAGCCCTCAAAGGCATAGGCAGGTATATTCATAGTCGAGGCCTGTATAAGTCGCTTGCTCTGTAGGGATTGGAAACAGAGCATTAAGTCCCTCGGGACCCCGGCCAGGTGTGTTGGGTGATTTTGGCACTCAATGTATTCCAGGTGTATGGCTTTAGCATTGGCTGTAGGGAGCATAGAACTAATCAGCCTGCCAAAGTAGTGTGATATCTCAGCGTCAGCGACGTCTTCTGGGACAACTCAGACTCGCAGGTTTCGTTGCTGCTTGGAGTCCTCCAAGACAGCTAGTCTGCTCTCCATAGTGAGGTTGTCCTGCTTCAGCTTGTCCACCTCAACTTTCAGGTCTTGTTTGCCTCTGGTACTGTCACCAGCCTCTTCCAGCATCCGCAACCAAGCTGTCATGACCCCCATATCCTCTCTCACCAGCGCAATATCAGCTGCAAAGAAGGCCTTCATCTCGGCTGGCATATTTTGTATGTCAGCTTTGCTGGCAGGTGTAAGGTCTAGGCAAGTTTCAGGTATTGCTCTCATGGACTTTTGTCTCTAGTCTGCGGGTGGGGGGCGTTTGGTAGTGTCTCCCTGCTTGGCAGTATACTAAAGTTCGTCCCAGTCACTTTCCTCTGAGGCGAGGTCATAGTCTTCCTGCGCGGACGCCATTTTGAAAGCCCACTGCAGCGGTGTTACTCAGAGCAAAGCTCCAATATCTTTGGACGATGGGGCTGTATCGCTCCTACGGAGCTTGGTTTTCTTTCCCATGCTACTAGGGCCGCTTTTGGGTAAAAATAGAACACTTTTAGTTGAGGTAGGCTGGTTGTTTTAATTATTTCTCTCGGGAGCTCCCGACATGTGCACCTGCTTCGTTCCGTGGCTAGCTCCGCCCACGACCAAATGTTTTTTTTTTAAATGTGGTCATTGCAAGATGTGCCAGCATATCCTGAAATCCATTAGGGCTTTTGAAAGTGGAGCAACGTTTGAGATTAAGCATTTGATTAATTGTTCCACAAAAATGTAATTTATTTGTTACAATGTCCATGTGGCATTCAATATGTGGGACGTACAATTATACCACTAAAAGAACGTATACTTGAACATTTTAGACTTCTGGCCAGAAAGAACAAAAAAAAAAATGTCTTGAGACTGTAATAATTGTACATTATTTAATTTTAAGGATTTTTATGTGTAGGGGTAGACCTTATTAAACAAGACATTAGAAAAGGGAATATCATCCAGAAAGTATGCCAGAGAGAAACCATGTGGATTCACAAACTGAAAACATATAGGAATGTGGGTCTTAATTTGGGGCTTTTATGTGACGATATTCGGATTTTTCCATTTGTTTTCTTTTTCTTTCTACACTGTCCTACTTTTTTTTTACTTTTTTTAATATAAATTCTCTCCTTTAACAACTTAATAATTTATATAGTCTTATCTATTATTATTGTTTTTTATTATTGAATATTTCATGGTTTTATTGTCATTTGATGTTCCTATTTTTCAATGATATACTTTGTACACTATGTTTGTTTCTTATATGTGTTTTAAGCATTAAAAATTGTAAAGATTGGGGGGGCGTGTCCGACTTCCGGCCTGAACGGACGCATGGAGTAAGAGCTCTGCTCCACACCGAGCCTCAAAGCACCCTAAACCGCACTAAACATAAATAAAACAGCGAACCTCCTGCTCAGCAGGTAAACGCAGGGGACTATACCTACCGCGTGATGTCTCCTTCGAAGCAAACAAAGCTCACTGACCCGTCCAGACAAACAAAGAAGGACCGTCACAAACTACTCCAAGATGGCGCTGGGACGGAGTTTCCCGCCCAGACCTCAGAAGGACTGACAGAATCCGACCAGGTCTCAGACCCTGAACTAGAGGGGAACATCACAAAATTATATATTAAGACTATGCTCCAAGACTTGAGATCAACGATCAGAGAAGATTTTACTACCATTGTCTCTGGAATACACCAGGAAATAGCGGAGCTGGGAGACCGTACCGACCACCTAGAGCAAAAAACGGAGGAACAGTGCTCAGCCCACAACGCGGCGGCTGACAAACTCCAAGCCCTAGAAGCTGATAATGCGAAGCTGTGGCAGAAAATGGCAGACATAGAGGACAGGTCGAGAAGGAACAATGTGCGGTTCCGAGGAATAGCAGAATCTATCCTGCCTGACAAACTCTACAGTTACATCACCACCATGTGTGCAGAGCTGGCCCCTACAGTGAGTGATAACGCATGGGAGATTGATCGAGTGCACCGACTACCGAAACCTCCACGTCTCGCGCGGGACATTCCACGCGATGTTATTGCCCGCTTTCATTATTTTAAATCTAAAGATACTCTTCTTCAGGTGGCAAGGGCAACGAGCAACTTACCAGCACCATATGAAGGCATATCATTGTACGCTGATCTATCGTCCTTGACGATGGCCCGACGCAGAGATTTCTCTACAATCACGAAAACGCTGCGCAATCACAAGCTGAACTACAGGTGGGGTTTCCCCACGAAACTATTGGTATGGCGCAATGGCAAATTGTACGTGATAGCTGACCCGGATCAAGGTCTCACCGTCCTGAAGGACTGGGGCCTCTGGGACCCCCAAGGCACAGCCAACTTGCCAGGGACGTCCCCTCAGCGTATCCGACCAGAATGGAAGATGGTGGGGCACCAGGACGCTAAGCCGACACAAGGCACCAGCAAATAAGACTACTCTTAAAGGACTTACTCCACTATGTGAAACCCAACTTTCGTATACTGGCCTACAAGACCTCGATTGACTGCGGCCTACAGGACTGGTATTGTTTAATCCACAAAATGTAATGTACATGTTCCGTACATGTTATATTCCCATTCCCTCTTGTTCTTAGGCGCATTACCATACTCAGTTGCACTACTGTGCAGCAGGGGGCAAGATCGCTCGGGGGCCAGTCCCCAGCCCTGTCCATTCCCCACCTCCCTAAAACGGCCATAAAGTGCGTGTAATCACACCCTCCACGCGATCGCCATGCGGGAGGGCACTAACAAATATATCTCTCACGAGCTTGGTTGAATATCCGCTACCTCCTGGGACAGCTGGTCAGCCCGAATAGGTATAGGGAACACGGTGGCGAAACAGAGCTCGGAGGGTAGAACATCGAGATTGGCGCAATATATCTAACTACAAGGGCCCATATCCAACCCTCTACCTGTCCAGCAGTCAGCCCTGGGTCACCCTATACAAATTCCCTCGCTGACCTAAAGCGGTTATAATAATAACCATTACCCCCAAGCTAAGGCCTCCCCAAGACCCCACTCCTTCATTGATGTACGAAGGCATTAACCGCAAAAAAAAACAAAAAAAACACTGTAATACCCCCTAATCACCGTACCCCCATGATTGTATGTGCGGAACGCTACTGGTTTAATGTTGATAAGGCTCGGGAGCGAGTCAGCTCCACACAATCCCCCCAACCTAGGATGTTCTCTGGGAGTGCGCTGGTTAGCCACCCAGTACATCCACGAGTTTACTCTCAGAGGAGAGTACCTTGTATATACCTTCTTTACATTGTTTATAATTATGTTTATTCCTTATGTTTTTTCTCACCCCCCACCCTCCCAAGTTTCTACTCATCCCGTGATCAAGGTAACATGCCACCGAATAGATCCCGGGTATATGACACTAATGGTCACCATACTGTTCCCATCTGCATTGAATATAGTTTTTGGAGCAGGCGCAATAGCAGCTTTTACTCTCAGGTTACGCGGCCACATATCGCTCTCTTACAGCCCAACATATGACACATCAATTCAAGTGTCTCTCACTAAACGTTAACGGCCTGAATAGCCCGTTCAAGAGACATGCAGCAATTAAAGAGATACATGACTCTAAAGCAGCAATAGTCTGCTTACAGGAAACGCACCTATGCACACATCACCCTCCGACTTTTCAACCAACCGGTTACCCTCAAACTTTCCATGCACTCTCACCACACAAATCCAAAGGCGTCTCTATATTGTTCCAACAAGACTGGGTTTTTCAACAGACAGGGATATATCAGGACAAATTGGGAAGGTTATTAATATTGGTGGGTACGCTGAATGGCATCGCAATCACAGTGGCCTCGTTGTATGCCCCAAACGAAGCCCAGGCCTCCTTTTTAAAATCCGCACTCAACAAAGTGGCAGCTCTTAGGCAAGGGCACACTATTATCTGTGGGGATTTCAATTGCACACTGGATCCCAACCTGGACATACAGAGGGCCCAAGGAAAAAGACCACTACACCAAGCCACGTCACTAAGCCGCAAACTTGCCACACTCCTCCACACACACAATCTTTATGATACATGGCGTAGCTTATATCCTAGCGGGAGGGACTATACTTATTTCTCACCAGTTCACCATACGTACTCACGCATTGATTTATGTCTGGTCGACGCTATAACACTACAAAATGTAGCGGATGTGAGGATTGGGAATAGGACATGGTCAGACCATGCCCCGGTCACCACCACGTTCAAAACCCTATACCCTGTTAGAGGTAGAAGCATGTGGAGACTAAATGACTCCCTACTAAACGAGGCTGACCTACTTATAAAACTAGTTAATACGATTACACTGTTCTACCAAGACCATACAAATGATGAGACCTCTATCCCTACACAATGGCTAGCTCTCAAGGCAGTGCTTAGAGGCCTCTTTATACAAGCAGGAGCAAACCGTAAAAGGAAGAGCAATCAAAACAAAGAGCGCCTGCTAGAAGAACTTACACAGATTGAGGAAAAAAACAAACTCAACCCATCCAACAAATTGACCAAACAAATTAACAAAATAAACTCGGAGCTACATGCTCTGGCCCTAACCACTATGGAAAGGCAAATGCGTAAACTCAACTTAATTCATTATATGCAAGGTAATAAGGCGGGCAAGTCACTGGCACGTCGCCTGAAAACACGTCACCTGCAGTCTAAACTACCATACATGACCTCAGCTACCAAACATAAGCTATACAACCCCCAAGATATAGTGGAGGAACTAGCCTCTTATTATGACAAGCTATATAATCTACATAGATCGAACGATACACACCAGCCATCCAAGGACGAAATCCTAGACTTTCTAAGCAGCGTAGACCTACCCCTCCTCACAGACGCTCAAAAAACATACCTCCAAACACCATTCACGGAGGAAGAAGTGCATAAGACCATTAGCTTATTGCCCAAACGTAAGGCACCACGCCCAGACGGATTCCCGAACTCCCTCTACACGACGTTTAACACACAACTAACACCACATCTCACCAAGCTCTTTAACCACATCAAAGTCACTGGGAACATCCCGCCCGAAATGCTCCTTGCACACGTGATAACACTCCCGAAGCCCGGGAAACCCCCAACGGAATGCGCTAACCTTAGACCAATCTCTTTATTAAATGCTGACACCAAACTGTACGCAAAGCTCTTAGCCACTCGCATTAAGCCGCTACTCCTAGATATGATCTCACAAGAACAAGCTGGGTTTGTCCCTACAAGACAACCAGGAGATAACACACG